AGTACACCTACACAGTGATAGGAAAAACTGAAGGGATCGCCAGGAAACTTCATACTGACAGCTAAATGAAGCACACAGGTGGGGGACCAACAACAAAACCTCCTATTCCCCATACAAATGGTGATAGACTTGAGTCAGAGACTCCAGACACAAAGACTCGAGGAGAACAAACCAGCCTTTTAACGGGCTGGACCAATCTGCTGAAAGACGTGGAGCCGCGGGAAGAACCTCAGGTTCGGACACCGAGCAAGCAGTGGCTGAAACCAAGGCTGGGCCGACCACCAAGGAGCCAGAAGGACAACTCTTCTCTGTTAAGTCTCCAAGCGAGCCAGCACCTGGAGCAACAGCTGAACCGGGAGGAAGACGTACAGGTAATCCCACCTCGCCCAGTCCTGCCTGAAGGCATCGACCCCAACGGCCTTGCAGTCGGGACAGGGCGCCATGTATACCGGGAGACGCCTCGACCACGCCGACGCGAAGAAGTCAACCTCCTGAGGCCTGAACGTCCGGAAAAGCCAACTCAACGAGTTGGCGTCGACCATCCACTCCATGGAAAGGGGAGTGAAGCGGGATAGGCCATCCACCAGGACATTGGACACCCCCACCCCCCCCGAACGTGAAATACCAGGAGAGCCAAACCCCGAGAACTCAGCAGATGAGTGACCGGACATGACCAGCCCCAAATAGCCAAGGACCTCATTGAACCCACGCGGTTCAGGCAATGAACCACTGGGGAACAGTCCGAATGGAGCCAGATTATCGATCCGTGAGCGACCCAAATCCTCCAAAGCAACCCTAATCCTCTGGAGCGACATCAACATAGCCGCGAACTCCCACGCCATGCTGTGAGCCCGACGGAAGGATGGACCCCACTGCCCCTGGCCGGATTGGTGAGCACTGGTCACAAAGCCCCAGCCAAGAGATGACGCATCCGTGAACACATCGAGCGAGGGCTCGGGTAGGCGCCAAGGCATCGAACCCCGAAAAACCAGAAGAGGAAGTCGGCGATGCAATAACCGACATAAAGCCCCTGGAGGCCAAACCCAGAGGTCGCAAGAGAGAACCAGAGCAGCCACAGAAGCCACACCCGACCTGGCGGGTAGACCATCATGGCAAAGTTCAGGCTCCCACACAAACCCTTGAGCAACTGCTGCATGACCAAAGAGCCCTTCAGGAACAGACGAAGATGGGAACACAGCCGAAACAGAGCCGCCGGAGGAAGAGACAAAGAAGCGAGATGGTCCGAGCGTCCCACACAAAACCCAGCCAAGACCGAACCTAAGAGGGAACCAGATGGAACTTCCTCCAGTTCACCACGAACCCGACCCTGGCGAGCTGGGAAAGAACTAAATCCCTGGTGAGCAGACATGCGGACTGGCTGGGAGCCCAAACCAGCCTGTCGTCGAGGTAGGCCAGTACCCGAACACCAAACAGATGCAGGCGGGCCACCACAACCAGAGTAAAGCCTGTGAAAACGTGAGGCGCCAGATTCAAACCGAATGGAGAACAACAAAAGCAGTAACACTGATGCCCACCAACAAAACCGAGCCAGTCTCTGAACCTCAGATGAATCGGGACGTGGCATTACATGTCCTTGAGGTCCAGGGACACCATCTAAGCATCCGGCTCCAACAGAAGATGGATCTGGGAAAGAGTAGTCATCTGAAAGGAGGGGCAATAAGCCCACGAGTTCAGACAGGACAAGTCCAGAAGGAACTGGAAGTCCGCGCAGTCCTATTTCGGGACTGGAAACAGGCGGGAAACCCACTGGAGGGACGAGGTCGTTTCAATCACGCCCAAGCGAACCCACTCCGAGATGACCCGACAAAGAGCAGGAGAAGAGGCTTGCCCCAACAGCCCCAAACCCCCCTGAAGGAGGAGGAGCCACCCAACACCACCACAGGCCGCACAAAACGACCTGAAAGGCCCACAACTCATGGGACCAGGTATGACCAAACAGAGCAAGTCTTCCCTTCATCCCCCCGTCAATGGGACGAACTGCGAAAGGGCCAATGCCCCTTACGTGAACCTGACCTTCGCACAGAGAGATCACCGTGCTGACCATATGAAGACAATTCCAAAGGCTGCACCGGCCTATCACGATGGGAGGAACCCCGAGCCCTGGCACGACCCTTCCGGGAAAACTCCCCACGCCCCCCAGCCCCCTAGAGAACCAACAAGTCCGACATTGGATGACAACTGGAAGCTGCCTGCAGATAGTGCCCAACCAGAGAGTCCATAAACAGCAAAGGACAAAGAGGGGACAAAAACCTAAGAGTCAGGGCCCAAGCAGATTCCAAGGAGTGTCAGAGCCTCACGCCACTGAAGCGCGCGGGACCGAGCCTCCAACGAAAAAAACTGGGCCGTCTGCAAGAAAGGATGACTCCGGAACCTCATAACAAACCCAGTGAGGAAACGAAGATCCAAACCTGAATGAAGATGGATCCATTAAAGAGGTAAAATCCGGGTCTCACAGGAGGTAAGCCGCAATGGTTTCCCGCACCTCGTGAGGTGGGGTGTGGGAAGCCGAAAACCTCAAGAAGTACAGGACTGACGGACCCGAAGAGACACGGAACCAAACCCATGGAGGAGCCGACACCAAATCAGACTCATATGCGGAGGAGGAGGGGGATGGAAGGAAAACCCCGTTCCCTGTAACAGCAAGCCCCGCTCAGAGGGTACAAAAACCCAAGCGGGGTCCAATTGGGCCCAATGGCCCCAAAGTCAACCCCTCCCCAGCCCCGTGAATCTCCACAGCGGGACCCGGGGTCAAACCATCCCCCAAAGCCTCGGCCTCAAAAGTAAAAGCAGAAAGGAAGGGGGCTCACTAGTCAGACTCAGACGCTTTGGCCAGATAAACTGGCTCGAATGAATCCGTCACCACCCCAGAAGGGGCATCCTCAAAGACAGCCAGAGTCTCCAAATCAACTAACCCCTGCCCCGACTCCGAAACCCTCAGATGTTCGGAGCTGGAAGCAGTGGGGAAGGACCGGAATGAACCACAGCAGGGGCAGGATGAGGGGGTGCGGACTGAACCAAAGTCAAAGTGACTTACACCCCTAAGTCCGGGTCCCTATAACTAAAATCGGGCAGCCACAGGGCCGGGTCAGCAACCAATCTAGCATGCTGTAGCAACCTAAAACGAGCATGCAACGCCTGAGCTGCCTGCACCTGAATAGTGTCATCAGTGGACTGGGTATACTGAGTCACAAACAAGCAACAAAACTCGCAGATGTCATCGACCCAACAGGCAGCATGACAGAGGCATAAACGGTGAAGGTCACCCGAAGACAAGGGGACCGAGCAACCCTCAAACTCGCACAAGGCAAGAGGGGGACCCAGGGGTCGCTTCATTGGACCCAAGGTTCCCAGCGCGGTTTCCGAGGGACCTTAGACAGAACTCACACTAAGAGAAGCCCCGACAGGTTACTACTAAATGGCGGCCAAAGTTACCAACAAAACTGCTAAAACTGCCCCCTCACCCCTGGAACATGGACACTCATAGGGGCCTAGCAGGGGATCACCAAGACACAATCGAATGAGACCAAAACCAAGGGGCAGATCCCCCCATCAGGCAAGAAAACAAAAGAAAGAAAAACCCTGCAAGAGGACAATGTACCCAGGCGGAACAGAGCCGGACGCTATGAGAGGTTATAACTAGCTGCACAGTACCCTGCACCTCAACTAGTGACGAATACTACCCCCCCCTACCCAGAGGCAAACGGGTGAATGAAACACCCCAGTTGACTCCAAGGGCGGCCAATCACCGGGCAGCAAAAGACCTTGTGGAGGTAGCCCCAAAGGTGACTTGTGGATGATGGTCCCAAGCCCCATGGCAGTACTTACTGGGCACCTAGGGAAAGGTGACCCTAGGTGCATGAAACCCAAAAACTTGTAAATATACTTCTGGCTCGTGCACTACCAAGGACAGCACTACACCACAAGGCACAGGACCAGAATTCAGGAGCCAGTCGCACAACCTTGCCAGCCTCATATCAGCCATAGAACTGAGGTGTGGATAGCCAGCGCGGGGGTCTGTGGTTCCCCATTGCCCCTCCCAGGGAGGGGGAGGGGGGAGCTGTGCAGACAGCGGCATGGTGATGTGATGACGTCATGCTCGTCTGCTAGTTTTTATTTGGGCGAGTTCTGTCTACTAGTTTGGCTTTCAGTAGCAATTTCTTAACCAGAATAGGAGTTTGTTTTGGGGCGCTTACCTTTCTGGGTGCCTGACCCAGTTGATGGCAGACATAGAATGCTTCCAACCACATGGGGGTTTCTATAGGCCATTGCTCCTCGTGCTTCTCTGAGGGGGCCAGATTTTGAAGTGTTGTCCCCGGAAGGCCTAGAACTCCATTCACTTAGACTGATGCCAGGGCCTAATACATTCATATCAGCCCGATTAACTCTGGGGAGCCGAAGGGGTTCCCCTAGAAAACATCTTGCAATAAGAGCAAAATAAGTCTCAATTAGAATACTGTGAAGTAATAAGTTTCCACTGAACATACTGCAGACCAAACATGACAGGGCTGATCTCAATGAAACCTTTGAAATATTGAACAATTTGGAGAAAGTTCATCTAGACCACTTCTTCAAAACATCAAATGTAACATGAACAAGGAGCACCAGTTTCAGGCTCACCAAGCTACAATGCAGGACAGAAAATAGGATGGCTTTTCACCTATAGGGTTATAAACGTGTGGAACTGCCTACCCACCGAAGCTGTAACTGCCAAAACACTGCTGAATTTCATAATCCAGCATGATAAAATCATCATAACAAACGGTGGGACCATTGACCAGCCACCAGCTTCCTGTTCTCGTCGAAGACACTAGAGAGTGGTCCTCAGGTAAATTGAGGTAAATATTTCTCTTATCAATCCTTCTTATCATTTTTAGGAGAGCTCGGGGTGTTAAAGTAATGCTGACACATTCTTACTGCCTGTTAAGGGGAACTGTTTATATCAATAGCTAATTTGAAAAACAAAGAAAGTGTACACATACCTTAGCCATCTGTCTTCCCACAGTTTCATTTCTGACTGCAGCTTCCCTGGTGAAGGTCTTACTGCCATATCTGTTCTAGCTTTGGACATGGATAGCTCATATGTTGCTTGAGCTTGTTCTAGAAATCCATGCTGCTCATGGGTAACAGCCTGCAAAATAGAAGATTACCCATACAGTAATTATAATGACAAATCCAGCATTGAATTTAATAAAATGCTAGTTTCTGGGCGAGCCTTGGAGGTGCCTTGAAGCTATCTATACTAATTAAATACCATACTACTTGGAGTCATCAGTCGCAGAGTTCTTGCATGACTACCGGGGACCACAAGCCAGAACACAGCCCTCTCAGTGAAGTGCAGACAGCAAAGGCCCTTGAACACTTTACATTTAAAGTTGATCATCTTGTCATGGACCAGGGAAGCACCCAGAAAGGTAGGCGAATCAAAACAAGACTACTGCCTGGTTGAAAAATGCGACCTACACCCACTTAAGTATCAAAGGAGCTCACTTCACTAAAAACAAACAACCAAAACTTCTTCCATCTAGCCCCCCCTCCCCCACTCATTAGCTCCACTTATCCCCCTCATTTTGGGTAAGGGGGGGGGGCGGGAGTGAGAGCCGAGTTGCCATCACCCAGTTCTTCAATGATAAAAGCCGCTGACCAAAGGGAGAGAGGGAGGGTATGAGGGAGCCTCAAGGGATCTTGCCTAGAAATTGGTGTTTAAATACATTCAATGCTGGTTTTCTGTGGGGAGCCCTGTCGATTACCTGTAGCTAACCAGTCAAGGAGAAGGAAAAACAGGGATGCGGAAGCATCGTAGGTATCAACACGAAGAAGAGCAGTTGGCCGCAAAAGATGACCCAATGCAACCCAAGGCCGCAAAAGGCCTGGGTCATTAACCAGATACCTGGCAGCCAAAACCCCCATGCCTGAATATCATCTCAATTCATGTACCCTAACACACCTGACAGAGTGGCATACATTCACACATCATGGGATGAGGTTAGACCTTAGGCTAGACTTAATATTACTGCGGACAACTTACGACAAATGTCCCCTGGAACAGGAGACCAGGGAAACCGGATCAATCCACAGTGCATCCACCTACACAGAACCGGTGGGGCGCAAGTAGCGGAGCAAAGCTGCTATCGGACATAACACATGACGTACCCCCGGTCGTACCAAGTATCCACCACCAAGGACCCTCTCAGGAAGCCTGCCTTCTCATTCTTCCTCAGAAAAGAAAGAGCCAGCGCAAGCGAACAAACCGACCACCAGGACCAAACGAACAAAACCCCTGGCACCAGAGAATTTCATGAAGCTCACAAACCCGACCATCAGACTTAATGACAATGTGGACAACATGAGACACACGAGCTCTGGAACAGGAAGCCAGGAAAACCGGATCAACCCAGAGCGTGTCCACTGACACAGAATCTGTGGCTCACAGGTAACAGCGCAAAGCCGCTTCTAACACAGAACCGGTGGCCGGCAGGTAGTGGCATGAAGCCGCTGTAGCGGCATGAAGCCGCTACCGACTCAGCACGTGATGCACCCCCGACTAAGCCAACCAAGCATCCACCACCAACGGACCCCTCCGAAAGCACGCCGTCTCATTCTTTACCAAAAAAAAGGAGAAGGCTGCAAACGAATAAACCGACCACCATGACCAAAGGAACAAAACCCCCAGCACTGTAGAAGAGCATGAAACTCCCCAACTCAATCTGCAAAGGCCAAGGCCAACAAAAACAATGCCTTCCCAAAAATCATGAATCAAAGGAGCTACCACAAATGAAGGAGAAGAAAGAAAGGAAAAACCCGGTATAAGTACCAAGAAAGCTCAGGACCTCCGGGCTCAGGCGAAGGCTGAGCAAGCCAGAGGTGAAGAAATGAATGAGAAAGCTTGCGTTACGGAGCAGACGTGACATTCACCCCAAATGAAAATGGCAGTGGCTCCGCCAATGCCGCTCTATAAGAAGTGACAGTACAGTATTTGATGCGAGATACTGATCCAGAAAAAGCCTAGAGAGAAAAGACAAATAAACCAGGGCCGACACCGAAGAAACCCAATAAAGAGAAAGAAAATGGTGGAAAGACTGCCAAGAGACTTCATACTGCTCCTGAGATGAAGACCTGAGGTGAGTTTGCTTACTGTGTGAGATTATTGGAGGTGAGACACTATCTAAGAAGCCAACTGATAACCATACAAAAGGTGATATACAGTACACGCATCAGAAATGCCAGACGCGTAATGCGGAGGAGCAAGTCCAACCAGCGAGGTACCTCACTGGCCCAACCTGCTGAAAAAGGCAGGGCTGGGAAAAAAATGCCTGGGTTCGGACACTGAGCAAGCAGCGCCTGTGTAAGGGCACGAGCAGGTAAGCCATACTCTACAGTATGAACTCACAAAACCCATCCTTACTTGTTTATGGTATAGCTATGTAACTTTAAAACCAGGGTTGTAAAACCAAATATGCATTTATAAACACTACAAACACAAGAGTGACCATGTGGAGCTGGTACCATATTTTTGCATTGGTAGGACTCAAGAAACAATCAAAGTGCATGCATTACATTTATTTAAACACGGGAAAAGGGATGATACACTAACAAGGAAAAATCTCACTCACCAGATTAATGATTACAGTTCCAGACACTCAGATATAAATGGAGGTCAATAACCTCACACAGTAAGGTGAGAACCTATGAGCACACACCACACAACCTGTGTGTGTGGAGTCTCAGCTCTCTCTCTTTCGTGGATTGCAGGGATGCTCCTCTCACAAAAATTTGTGGGAAGATTTTTCACAGGGAATCATACTCCTTTACTAATACATACTCACAAACACAAATGAAACATAAAAATTAACACAAATAAAACAAACTGGTATCTTAACTAGGAGAAACATACATTAACAACCAAAAAAGCTAAACTTTATATATCAGTCATTACACCTGAAACAAAAGGCTGGGCCAACTACCATGGAACCAAGAGAAGAACTCTCTCCCACTAGGATTTCAACCGAGCCAGAATTTGAAGCAACAGCTGGACCAAGATGAAGAGGTGCAGGAACCCCCACCTCGACCAGTCCTGCCAAAAGGAATTCACCGAGAGAACTTCACAGTCGGGAAATGGTGCAATGTACAGTGTGAGATGTCGAGACCATGCCGACACAAAGAGGTCCACCTCCGGGAGCCCGTACATCTGGCAAAGCCAAAGGAAGAAAGCAGCATCGACCATCCACTGCGTGGAAAGAGGAATGAAGCGCAACAGGTCTTCTGCCAGGACGGTGACACAAAGAGAAGAGCTAAACCCTGAGAACCCAGTGGAAGAGCTACCCAAAGTGACCAGCTCCAAAGAGCCATGGACCAAAGTGACCACCTCCCACCCCCCTCCTTGGTTGAGACAATGAAACACAGGGGGAGCAGTCCAAATGGATTCGTATCACCGAGCAACGAGAAAGTTGAATCCAATCCTCCGCATATTCCTGCATCATGCTGTGAGCCTGACACAAGGCCTGCTGCCAATGCCCCTGGCTAGACTGGTGAGCACTGGTCACAATGCCCCAGCCGACAGATGAGGCATCCACGAGCACATCAAGCGAGGGAGGATGACGGCACCATGGCACCAAACCCCGATAAACCTGAAGAGGAAGCCGGTGACACAGCAAACGGCACAAGGACACCATGGTCGAACCCGGCGATCATGAAACCGGCAAAAATGGCTGCTCTGATACCAGAACAGCTTCCAAAACCAAACTCTGCCCAGCTGAAAAACAAAAGAGCAAAGCTCAGGCTCCCACACAGCTGCTCGAGCAACCTCCGAGTGCTGCGGGTCCCCCTCAAAAACAGCCGACGGCGGGACTGCAGCCAGAGTAAGGCTGCGGGAGGGAGAGAAAGGAACACCGCCTGAGAATCCCCCACAAAGCCCAGCCAAGTCCAAACCTGGGACATTATCAACTGGGTCTTCTGCCAGTTCACCAGAAACCCAACTGTGTCGAGGCAGGAAAGATCCAGATTCCTGGCTAGCAGACAAGCAGACCAGTTGGGAGCCCATACCAACCAGTCGTCAAGGTAGGCCAAGACTCAAAGACCTAGCAGATGAAGATGGGGTGTTGTAATCCACAAGTTAGTAGGAATTATTAGCTAGAGGATCATTACTACAACACTTAACGAATGATGATTGAAAGTACATGTAAGTAGACAGACTATGGATCACATATCTAAGAAAGGTCAATGGATTAAGACCGAAGCTGTTTAGCCAAATGATTAATTCCTGGAAAGAGGAATTATTCTTCGTCAGGCTTCTAGGAACAAGATTACCTCTCTAGGGATAAGGTTAATCGGATTATACCTTCCTTGAGAGGTGGGGTGAAATGGTTGAGGTAGATGGCTGACTGGAGTGAGTCTGATTGGGGAAGTTGAACGAGCAAGTCCTTTTGGATCCCCGGTTGTGGCAGCAGCGAAGTGTAGCAGACAGCTATGCGAGAGCCTGTTGTGATCTTAGTGACCAAGTTAAGTCTGCAGTATGTGAGTATTGAATGTAAGACTAACCGGGTGTGGAGCGTTGTAGTAATCATTCCGTATTAGGGACTTAGGCGGAAGTTACGAGTGTGGGTGGTGATCGCGGAGGTCAAGTGGTCTATGGGTATTGGAAGTGTATTGACCTAATAGAGTATGTTAATTAATATAGTATTATTTGTCAGAGTCTATTCTTTGTAATTAAATGACAAAATCCGACGGCCTTTAAATACCTTCCGTATGTTCATTCATTGTGTTCCAGTACAAACCTAGTGGTACGCCTCAAGGGTCTGGTGTGTGTAGGAGTACACGGTGGTAGTAACGGTTGCTGAGGCAAGGTGTTATGTGTTGTGTAATCGCTGTGTTCGGAATGAACCGGGGTTCAGCGTCACGACATATTTGGTGGCAGCGCAAACAGGTTTGGAACACTTTGAGAGATGAAGGAAGTGTGTTACCGGTTTAGTTGGTGAGGGAATGTTCGGGAATTGGTAGACGTCGGGAGTGAGGAAGGGAAGGTGCGTGGGCCAGGGAGTGGCCATAGTGGGGTGTAGGGCCAAGGTGTGTGGCCAAGTGGAGTGGCCACGTTGTGCGGCAGGGAAAGGTCCCCTAAGGGGTGGAAACAGTAGT